TTTAAATTGAAACTTGTGACGTTCACCGATAACTAACCGTGAGGTTATCACTGATGAAACACATAAACCCAAACAAAGTTGGATTCACCACTAGCCGAGGCTCTACCAGACCGGAGCATAGTGGAATTTTAAATATAACTGACACATTTGTTGTTTTAATTTACTAAGTTTTGACCTTAACTCTAGGGAAAAAGGAATTAAAAACTGTTAGACAAGTAGTATAGGCGATGATGTTCTATTTTATATAATGAGTTTAAATAAAATAATGATGCCCAAAGTACAATAAAATAAATGTCAGTTACAAATGTTCAAAATAAAATAAAATTACAAATTCTTTTATATAACATATTTCAAGTCATTGTTAAAATTATTACAAATTATTAAATGAGCTTAAGGACAAATACAATAAAAGGGACATGAGGGAGAAAATAATCTCTGACACTGCTGTATTGACTATGTTCGATTTGACCAAGGGACAGGATCGTAGTTTCCAATATTCAATAAAATAACATGGTTATCATTGCAATAATGCTCAAACTAAGAACCTGACATTGGTCAATATGGATCTAGGCCTTTTATACCGAGCCTTGAGACTGTTAAGCACGTCTAGATTGGTCCAACACATGTGAGGTTTTATTACACTCAACATAACAAAAATAATGATAGAATGGACGAAAGTGATATTTTACAATAATTTACCAATAGTCAATGAGCAAATATGCCAAGAAATCAGATAGAATAATCATATTAAAATATTTACATTATATTAATGTCATTTTTAAAGAAACCTCGTGACAATGCACGAATAGAGGAAACAATGAATTGGACAAAAATAAAGAAAAACGGGAATGCTGTACAAAGTTACCAAATTATATTATCATGACGTCCAGGCCGTAGCCAACAAATGAATCTTCACCCATGGCTCGATCGCCAGGGCCAAAAGTAACAGTTAGGCAGCCATGAGATCTTCAATATACGCAAAAATAAATATTAAGTAGAAGGCTGGAGACAGAATATAAACGACCGGGCAAAACACATTTGAACAAAACGGCCAGACCACTGGACGGCGACGACACACATGGACCGGAAGGGGAAACAAACGCCGACATCAGTGCATGCCTCGTTGACAGACACCTGGGACCGGTTGAATGATTGACAGTACTGTAGTGGTCAGCTGGGCGTTTTGTTATCACAATGATAATTTGTAATGAACGATTGTACAATAGATAAAATAGAAAAAGGGAATGTGCGACTGCATTACTTAGGAAAATTTAATTATGTTATTACTGAATTATAATGTTCAAAATTAGTTTTTATTCACCACGAAATTAATACTATCTAGACAATAACACCGCATTACCAATTGCCGAGCAGTTACACTTAATTATATGATGTTCACAATAACTAATTTAATTAACTAATGTGTTAAATAGTACTATTAATGATAGGTCAATTTTTTACGTCACAAACTAAACATTAAAAGGTTTGTGGTGTTAAATATTTGACTCTAATTGTAAGGGAAGCATACATATAATTTTTTATTATTAATCTTAATTGAACAGTGAAGTATTAATTACTTTTATTATCTATTTATATGTTAACTTTATGTTTTAATTTAGTTAGGTTTATGATTTAAAGAAACGTGTTTTGCCTGGTAAGTGCTTTGAGCGTTGCTCGCACAATTTATTGTTGGATCACTCTTGAGCCATTTTACATTATTTGGTCATTATAATTTGTTTGATTTGATTAATTAGTTTGGTTTTTATTGTTTGAATAATTTGTTGGTTTTGCCTTAATTGGTTAATTTTTGTTTTTGATTTTTTTAATGTGATTGTTTAGTCACTTTAGAGATTTAAGTAATTTTGATTGGTTCTACTTTTCTATATAGTCTTTATTGATTTATAATCATCAAAATTCCTCTTAGTGGTTTATTATTTTATAATTTTTTTATTTTTCAAATTTTATTATTTATCATGGCTGATGACAAAAGAGATTTAAGAGCTAAGCAGCCTGCTACAGCTAAAAGAGATGCTGCTGCTGCTCATATTCACTGCATTTATAATTTGGCTGTGGGTGTAAAAGAAGACCTTAATCAATACAAACATTTAAAGGTGGCTATAGATGATCTAGACCAGTGGTCGGCAACCGGCGTCCCGCGGGCCGAATCCGGCCCGCGTGGCTATTGAATACGGCCCGCTTTAAATTCTAAATCGACTAATTTAATTGAATATAATTTTGTATAAATATAATTGAACGTTGCGTTTTTGGTACGGGTATTTTATATAAGTCATATTATTATTTTAAGTTTTAGATAGTATTTTTTTGCATAATAAATAATGTAATTATAAATTTTTTTTTTTTATCTGGCCCGCGAACTCTTTTTAATTTGTAAATGTGGCCCGAGAATTAAAAAAGGTTGCCGACCACTGATCTAGACAATTGTTGGAAGTCCTTCTCTACTGAAAATGATGCATAATATTTTGAGCCTTTTCTGTTAAAATTTATTCTTTTATGAAATGTATACTATGTATATATTTTTAGCTATAATTGATAAGTACAAGGTTATTGGTCAGTGGTGTGTCATGTAAACTTAATACATATATACATATATATTAGGGTGTCCCTTATTTTTAAAATGTTGAAAAGTCCTAACTCTTACCCATCAAATTTTTGTGTATACATGTAATAAGTACCCTTAAATAATTTCAGGTCGATCAGACAACTATTGCCCGTGCCGACTTGTGGTTGAAAATCGACCGAAAGAGGTAGTTTTTTAGTCTTTTGCAATTAACTTGCGAATATTGTGCTACCACAAAAAAAATTATTGAAGCTAAATTGTAGACCTAATTGTTTAACATAATTTATATTCTTACAAATTTTCTTCTAAATCAATTATTTTTCCATAAAAATTATAAAAAATGTATTATTTGTTGATATTACCGAAATTGGGATATTTACAAATATTTTGTCTTATCTGGCGAGCATTTTATGATAAAGCTTAATATTTCATGCAAAAATTGTTTAAAATAAAGTTTTCTATACAAATGGTTATTAACTTATTTTTTATTTGACAGTTCGTTTCATTGTTACAGATAAAATAATTCTATGTATAATTTTATTTCAAAAAATGTTGAGTAATATAGTAATTACGCTAAATATTATGATTCAAAATCGTTTTTTAATGTGTCTTTGTTTCAATTAGGGTAAAGTCGTCTGTGTTTTTTGACTAGAGATGTTAAGTTCGTGAACGAATAGTTCATTTGAACTATTCACTTTGATGAACTATTCTGAACTGTTTCAGTACCTGTAACTTAACAGTTCACAGTTCGAAAGAAATTGGTAGCAATGTATAAATGAAATAGTTCGCGAACTTCTTTCAAAATTCTCTGTGGTTCGTAGTTCGAAATCCTGTAAATGGTAAACAGCTGTTTAGAATTAGATAACAAATAAATTATATTGTTAAAATGTTACACGGTTCTTAACAGTTTAACAATAAAATAAATTCATACAATGTACAAATATTAGATCAGATTTCTGATTTAACGTATGACTACTGGTCAATATATCCACCTTGAATTAGGTGACAATGATAACATGAGCCATGAGGGTACTGATAATAATTTTTTCTTAGTTTATGATGTTCAACTACAATTTTGATAAACTTTTATTTTCATCGTGTATATTACATAACCTCCACAAGTTAGTCCTCGCTGTTTAACTACCTACTCTAAGAAAAATTTAATTTTGGATAGTGGATACCAATCAAGTAAATTTTGTAAATACCTAGTTTCTAACTTTTAAATGTTCTTTAATTAATAAAACTTCTTATTTTAAAATACTTAAAGAATACAATAACAAAATTAAGTAGTTGTTTATTCTAAGTTATTATGCAAAAATATTAGTTGTGATGCTTTTTTTGTATCCAGGCGGTTCCTTTTTAAAGTAATAATCTGACCAGCTTCTGAAAATAACCTTTCGCAAGGAGTACTAGTTGCAGTCACACAAAGGCGCTTCATAACAAATGTATGTAGATAAGGATATATATGTTTTCGTTCATGCCACCATTTCAAAGGGTCATCTTGACGTTCTATTAATGGTTCTTGCATATATTTATCCAACTCTATAATTCCGGATGCTGTTAATGACTTAGTAGTTCTGTATTTTTCTACTTTTTCTTCATAGATTTTCCATAACAGAAATACTGGAGGAGATGGAATTGATGTAGATGTAGAAGGTGTTTGTTCAGTATTGTCAAATGAACTTTATGGTAAGCGAATACTTCCTATACGTGTTCTCAAAAGTGAATATGCATTTTTAAATTTATCATCGTTTGAAAAACCATATTTCTTAAATCTAGGATCTAGAATTGAGGCTTGAGCAATAAGTTCATTTTCTTCAATATCGCTCAACCTTTTCCTCAACTGATTATTTAGTGATATTGCTATTTGGTGAACTTCATTAGGCAAATGTATGTTATTAACGTAAGTTTCCATAGTTTGGGACATAGAACTAACTAAAACTATTAATTTGGAAATTGACACTGTTTTTTCAGAGCTCACTTCAATTGTGACTTCATTAAAAATTTGTAATACGTCTATGGCCTTATCAGCTATATCCCATTCTACCGGGGTCAAAACTTCAATATCAGTTTGTAAAACGGCTAATGTTGAAATTACAGCATCTTTCATGGAAACAATTCTCTTCAGCATATCAAATGTCGAATTTCATCTGGTTACGCAGTCTTGTCTTAATTTTAATATTGGTAGGCCCATTTGAGTTAATGTGGAATTAAGTTTTGCCAAAGCATTACTGCTTCGTTTAAAATACTCAACTATTTTTTTTACTTTAGCTACCATTACTGCAATATTCTCAAGTGAGTGTTGAACAATGAGATTTACAGAATGAGCAAAACATCCTAAATGCCGATAATGCAACTGACGTACAGCAGCAGTAATATTTGCAGCATTGTCAGTAACAATGGCTACAATTTTATTATTAACCTTCCATTCAATTGCTAATTTTTTTAAATGGGCAGCTATATTATCTGATGAGTGTCGTTGGTCAAAATGTTCACAACCAAGACAGACAGAACACATTTTACCTTCATCATTAATAAAATGAGCTGTAACTGCAATATAGCTCCTATTATTAATACAAGTCCATCCATCTGTTGTTAATGACACTGCATTAGCATTTTCAACTTTTTTTTTCAAGACTTCTAAAGTGGAATTGTATAATCTTGGAATTAGATTTTTTGACACAGTCTGGCGGCAAGGAATCTCATATGCAGGGTTTAACATTTTTAATAAATTTCTAAATTCCTTATCGTCTACTATAGAAAACGCATAGTATCTATATTATAAAACAAAATATTAAAATAGTGGTGTTGTAATGTATTAAGCTAATATAACCTTATTTGCACCAGTAACAAAACTTCTATAAAACATATACATGTATATATTATATAAAAATTGTATTTATACTTTTAATATGAATAAAATAAAAATATGTAGTTACCCTTTAACAATCATTTTTGTAACTTGCTCATCAATCTGCTTTGATCTACTGACTGTCATAGATTTTTTATTCTGCATAAAATGCATAATGCTGCTTTGAGTACAATTAATATTAGTGGATCTAGTAGGTTGGCTCGCATTACTTACACTAGTATCAGGAACATTTAATGTTTCAAATGATGAACCTACTCATTTATTCATACAAAATAACAAAGAGTTTTAATTCAAATATATACATTTAAATTGATGAAAGAAAAATAAAATNATGTACATTTAAATTGATAAAAGAAAAATAAAATAAAAAAATAATTATCAAAAATACCATGATTTGTAGGATCGTCCACAAAATTGTCATCGCTATTTACAGTAACTTTTGAAATAAGTACAGCAGAATGTACTGTTTTTATATGACGACTCAAATTACCAAAAGATCCACCAGCAATGCTCAATATTTTACTGCAATACCCACATTTGGCTTTACTATTTTCCAACTCAGTAAAGTGATTCCACATATCACTCTTTTTACGTGGGGCCATTATAAAGAATTTATCAAATTTACTTTTAAATTTTAAATTAGGTATATTTAATTAAAAATACTCAAATTTTAAAAACTCACTAAGCTTAAAGAAATAAACACAGTTCATAGTTAAATGCAAATTGCAAATGCAAGATTACTAATAATTATTGGTGTATACATTAATGTATAGGTATTAGATTAGCTATACTTGGATAAAGTTTTTACTCAGGAACTGACATGTCTATTCAGGTTATTTTACAAGAAATTATAATCAGTTGTATTATTGTTTGTTCAAGTTCTATTCTCTTATTATTATTATTACATTAATATCATCATATGTGTAAACCATATTTTTTTTATACTTGTTTAAATCTCTTGACTTATTTGAAATTAAAATTTAGCAAGAGACCAATTTGATCATCTTTAAATTGTTATCACACAAATTAATAAAAATAGAGATGTAACATTAAATAAATAACACATGTAATAACATTAGATGTATTTATTATTTAATGAATACAAATAAACAAAAATTAATGCTATACAAAAGTAATTAAAATAATTTTAAAAATTATGTATATATTTAATTTAACTTTTTAAGATTCCTCTTTGTCATTTCTATCTGTATTAGATTATTCACCATTGTAATAGTATTAGCTAGGTACTGTAGCGACTAACGTCGTAATCAAAGAATAAAAACAATCAAACGGCCAGCTCGTTGTATGGATGGCGTAAAGCCGTTTAATCGAGTAAATTGTTGCACAAAACAAAAGAAATAATAAAATCGAACAAGAAAAATAACCAAAATTAACAATAATAATATTATTGACAAAGTCGCACTGGATGGTTGCGGTTGAATTTTTTGACGGGCGGCGTAAGTACAGAGATAGATGTCACGAAGATGACTGACTGGACGTATTATTGCGGCGGGGTATACGACGCTAGGCATTTGTTGGACTTTACACCACGACGATAACGCGTGTGTGTGACGGTCCGGTTTACAGTTAAGCGGTGGCTGAGAAGGAGCTGACACGACCGCGGGGTGTCAACGTGTGACAACGCCGTGGCCGTGTCAATACATAAATATATAATGTAAAATAAACAAAAAAGAAGTATATTTATACATAATAATAATAATAGTTTGTCCATTATGTTTAAGTACCTATGTATCCATCCAGTATCCACTTTATATAAAGAATAAATCTAAAATTAATATCTGGTACTAAATAGTTCTTCGAATAAAAATAAAATCAATATTTCTGCAATCACTCAATTGGCCTCTGTATTTAGATAATCTTGAAATTTGAAAGTACCAACATTTTAATTTTTATAATTAATATCTATTAATTATTGAATTGATGAATCTAAGTTGTCAATAATTTCATCTTTATTTGAGCATTAGATTCACAACATATGATCTAATTAGAGGTTTTTAATATTGATTGATAGAATATTCTACATTAATTTATAAAACAATCACAATAATTAGGTATAACCAGAATGGTTTTTTCTTTTATATCTTTTGTAAAACATAATTCCAACGTGTATACTGTATATGTGTATAATATATATTATGTAAAAATGACCAAACAACAAGATAAATAAAATTATTTTCGATGTTTTTTACTTATGGCATCTTAATGTTTAAATAGTACCAGGGCTTCTGCTATCAGAATCTGAGTAGATCAGGGGTTATATTATAATATAATCAACTCAATTAAATAATAATTATATTGATAATTGTTATATACACATCCACTTTTTATGGGATTTAAGGTAAGTTTATAATTTAATTGCCCGTAAGTAATGTGAACTACTACTGAACTGTACTGCTGTACTAATAGTGATAAAACGAATAGTTCATTGCCAAACAATATCAGTATGATCAATAAAATTAGTGAACTACGTGAACTTAAGAATAGTTCATTTGAACTATTCACAGAAATGAACTAAACTTTCCATCTCTATTTTTGACACAACGCAATAGTAATTCAACCTTTCATCGTTAGCAGTTAAAGTGCCATGATATTCTTCCATGAGCTTTACTGCTCTCTCTGCCAAGTTATTCACAACATTTAATGAATTAACAATTTATCTTGCAAGTAAATAGCTATCATTAGCATTCCAATGAAGTGGATCCAATTTTTTAATATCATGTGCAGCGTATCATCAAAAAATGCTAGAGTAGCAGTTTCCTCGGTTAAATACCATAAGTGGTTGCAAATTTTGTTTATAGCTTTTTTCGAAATGATCGGCTGTTCTTTTTCATACAATTTTAAAGTTTTTATAACATTTAAATCGTTAGCTGGAGCTTTAGCCGCTTCAGTACAGCTAAACCAGGCTTTTAAATAATATCGAATACCGTAAAACCGGGTGAATAGAAACACTTTTGAACTTTGAAGTATCATAAAAACTTATCTATTTGAGCTACAAAGTTGATTAGTACATCAAAATACTGGTCTTGTCGAGTACTCTAAAACTGTCGATTAAAAAATTTTTAGTTTCAATAAATAATTGTATATATTTTCTTAAGTGCTCTGTTTCTATTGACCCGACAGTTGGTGACAATAGAAATATTTATGACTTTTTCATACATTTTTCTATTATATCAACAGGCTGTTGAATAGAAACAATTATTGATATTTTTTAAAAATTGTACACAACTTTTACCATTCAACTTTTTTTTTTTTATTTAAATACAACAACATTAACCAACTGTATCAATAAATATTAAAAAAACAAAATAAAAATAACACCTTGTCATAACATTTTAGTCATACATCATATGAAAAAATAAAAATAAAATTAACATTATAGTCTTTTAATTTCCAGTCTTTGGATTAACTTATCACAAATCATAATAAATTTAAATGTAACAAAATGTATATAAATACATCATATAAAAAATAAAATTAACATTTAGTCTTTTAATTTCCAGTCTTTGGATTAACTTATCACAAATCATAATAAATTTAAATGTAACAAAATGTATATAAATACATCATATAAAAAATAAAAATAAAATTAACATTTTAGTCAAATAATTTCCAGTCTTTGGATTTACTTTTTTTATATTATACAGTAGGCAACAAACATAATTAATTAGGTAGTTAATACTTTCATCTATAAATTGTTAAAAGTAAATGATTAGAAGACTATATGGAGTTACAGTTAAAATTGAACTTGAAAAGCCCTCTGCAATATGGTACTGTTTTTGGCATTTTTCCAATAATTTGGGATCTATCAAACTCACAAATATCTTTAACATTTGGAAACCCATACACAAAGCATTTAAACAGTTTTGTGGTCTTACTTCTTAAAAATGTACCTTCAAATGTAGATCCATCTAATTGTTTAATGATTTGTCCAATATAATACACGTATACCATATCTTTACTAGATGATTGCTTGAGATTCTCGACTTGGAAAGATACTAATACCCAGTCATCAACGTTTACTTCATTTTCTTTGTCTATAAGGATTACATTTTTAAATGTTATGCCATGTTTCACTACTTGAGGTTCTGAAGTAGTATGGAGAACATTACTTAATGACATTTCAGGTTCGTCTGCATCTGATGAACTTTCATGAGGTAATTCTGTTATTAGTTCTGAGTCACTATCAGTATCTGACACAGTTTCAACACTTTTCCCTGGTTCTACCTGTAATCTTTTTTTAGTTTTTCTTGGTGTACTGTTACTTGACCTCATACTTTTTAAGAACTCTAAAACTGAATTATTTATGCTATCTCCACTTTGATTAACATCACAGCTATAATACGGCAACATAGTTAGGACTCTTTCTCTGTTAAATGGCACAATACCACATTTATTAAAACCAGCTTTAATATTATTTACACCATTTTCATTGAGTTTTAGTATAAGTCGTTTCAATAACATAGGAAAACGATCCTTAGGAATACATATTTCATGAGCACCATCAGTTTTTTTCAAATTTTCTAAAATACTTCTCCAGTGCATTTTCAGTGGTCTAAAAAAGGCCACGTCAAGCGGTTGAGTTAAATGGGTGGAATTGGTAGGTAGGAATACAAACTTAATATTATATTTTTGGCAAATTTTAATTGATTCAGTGGAAAGATGACTTGACAAATTATCTCCAATTAATATTTTTGTCCCAGAAAGTTTGGATAGATATGGAATAGCAATTGTTTTAATCCAATCGTCAAAACAAAAACTGTCAAACCAACCAGATTTTGTTCGATTAAAACGGGTATGTTTAGGACCACCAATTTTCCATGTATCATATATATGTTTTGATCTATATACAACATATGGAGGTAGGAGTTCTCCATTAGCTGCAGCAGCAAACATTACTGAAGTAGAAGCTTTACTGTTATTCATAATCTGTTCAGGGTATTTCGATTCACGCTTTGTAATTACTTTACAAACAGGCATGATACTATATGATTTTCTTCTTCAGTGGAAAGTGCTGTTTGTCCACCTTGTGCCTTCATGTTTGGATTTTTGACATGGCGGAAAAGTACTGAATAATGTATACCATATACTTCACTAGCTTCTCTATAGGTCATTTGTCGTGTCTTTATGCAGCGAATGGCCGATTCTAAATCATTTTGATTGAGAATCTTATAATTTTTGGCTCTTGGATCTCTTTTTCTAATACGGCCCATGATTGTTTCTATTCACCCGAAAAAAGAGACATTTTACAAAATGTATAATAAAAAAAAAAATAATGAATTTAAAATTATTATACTTACAAGTTTCGACTACAGACAACTAGCTTGAACAATTTAAATGTGTAAGTAAACAAATTATTTCATTATAAACAGTGAGTTTGTATTTTACTTTTTTTTTTTGATAAGAAATAGTACATGTTTGTTATCAATTTTACGTGCATGGAGGGAAACATAAACGGAACGTTTCTAGCTTATCGAATTTCGTACTAGTGTGTATTCGGTTTAGTGAAGGTTTTATAATAAAAATACATATATCACGAATAGCGTTCATATCACAAGTTGATATTAAGTATTGTTCGCGGTATAAATAAATTTTTAAATAGTAAATTGTTCTACTCATGCATAGCTCTAGGAAGATGTATTTTTATTTTTTTGTCTAAGTCAACATTTAAAAATATTATAGAAAGCTTAAGCAACTCTTTGTAATCGTTTCTATAATGTTTGATTTCTAACATATTTCGCAAAATCTGTAGAATATTATTTCGGACGTTTTCGAGTGCCGAACAACACTCCACGTCTTCTATTCCAGTTGCAATATTAGAAAATTCAAATTTCTCCCAATTCTTCTTGAAATTTTTAAATATAGGAATATCTGGGCTATAAGTTAGTTGAGGTAGCCTTGTTTCAAAAACACCACGTAAAACTAACTCATATATATGATGGCGACATGGTAGGTATAATATATCTTTTTTAAATAGGTTTTAAATTCATCTCATGTGAGTACTATTTTATATATAAAAGTTTTTAGTGCAACTTTTTGCCATTTTTTCAATTTTGATAATTTTTTTCTATTTAATTGCAATTTTATTGATTTTTCTCATTTATTGTACATTTATTATACATTTTATATACTTATAAATTGTGAATAATATAATTTAATTTTTTTTTAAAGGTAAGAGGTATGTTAAAATATTCAAGTGCGCCTATTGATTATTATTTCGGGATTTCCGTAAATCACCGTGGCTGACCGGAAATGCGATAAGACAATATTGGGGTAAATATGACGAACGACGGTACATAAAGATTTGTAGATTGTACTACTGTAGTTTTAAGTTTATTATAGAATTTTAGTTAAGTCTTCACGTCTTCAGTGTTCAGTCGTTAAGTGTCGTCTCGTGTTTCTTCGTGGTTTATGTTTGAGTCTTATTATTTCGTATTGACGTCAAAAATGCCGAAAAATAAGCAATCAGTGTTTAGTGTATTATCGAAATACGTCAATGAGTTCGGGAAAAATGTATTTTCGAGTGATGAGTCAACTCTTTTTTGTAAGTTTTGTGAAATTCGAGTATCTGTAGAAGTTTCTTCTTTGGCCTGATGGTATACGCCATGATGACATATTGCTCTTCGTCAGTGATGCAGCGCCGTACATGATCAAGGCAGGAAAATCAATTGGAGTGCTCTATTCTAAGATGGTGCATATAACGTGCGTAGCACATGGTGTACATAAAGTTGCTGAGGAAATAAGAGAACGATTTTCAAATGTTGACAAATTGATCGCCAAGGTAAAACAAATATATTTAAAATGTCCATCTCGTGTATTATTTTTCAAAAATAAAGTTCCGACAATACCATTACCTCCCCAGCCTATTATAACTCGTTGGGGTACATGGGTAAAATCAGTCTCATATTACTGTGAATATTTTAATGAAATAAAAAATATCATATTACAGCTCAATCCAAATGACGCGATTTCAATAAAAGAAACTCAAAAAATATTAGATGATCCATCTTTGGAAACAGATTTAGTTTTTATTCACTCAAACTATGGATATTTACCTGACACCATAGTTAAATTAGAAACTCAAGGACTTCCTTTGGCGACAAGCATTGAAATTGTTAAAAACGTTTGTGACAAATTAAGTTCAGTGTCAGGAATAACAGGCAAGTTAATTAATGAGAAATTTAAATTACATTAAAAACGTTCTTGACAAAAATACAGGATATAAAGTTTTACAAGAAGTATCAAACATAATATCTGGCGAAAAAATTGGGGCAAATCAATTGCCAGAAGATTTATCCATTCAAGATTCGGTGTATTTTAAATATGCACCCATAACCTATGTCGACGTGGATCGCAGTTTTTCAATATATAAGAACTTATTGTCTTCAAATAGATCTTTCGAATTTGAGAACCTGAAGAAATCCTTTATCGTGCAGTGCAATGATTTTTAAGGTACCCAAATTTTTATTAAATAATAAAATTAATTGTTTTTAATTTTATAAAATTTCTTGCAGGTTCCTGAAATACCGAACGAAACCTGTTTGATTTATAAGTGTGTTACATTTTATTTTTAACTGTATCTATTGTTATTTAAATAAATAAGGCTATTTCATACTACAAAATTTGTAATTCTTAAAAGTAAAATGTTATAGCTAAAAACTATTAATCAAAAATTTTTAAGCGCAATTTTTAAGTGCAATTTTGGGTATTTTTTTCTGTAATAATGCAATCAATTTTCAACGATTTTTAATGCAAGAACTTCCGAGCTCTACTGATGAACATTCTTTGTTCCATAGAATCCTCTGCATGAGACCGTAGTACTTTAAAACTGTAGAATAATGTCTACATTCTTCACAGCAACAATGTGGGTGTTATTTGAGAGCACAATTGTGAGCAGAGCAACCACATTGTATGAGCTTACATATTAAATATCTATGGTGTGTAGTAGTACGTAGAGCGCGTTAAAACAATGCATGAGCTTGCAGGTTAGAGAGAACACTCACACATATTTTAAAACCACAGAAACGTTAAAATGTACCGATAACAGCAACAGCAGCGATAACAACGGTACAAGTGAGTATGCAACATATCCAGTATTACCAACTAGTGGTGAACATGTACTAGATTGATAATTCTTTTATCGGGCTCAAGCATACTCCCCCTTGGAAGTCCCAGTTACAACAGTATTTGAGCTTGGACTATAATTCACTTGTAGAGACAGTTGAAGTTGTTGAGAAGTTTTCACACACCAGATGAGAGTTTCAGGGGGGGGATACAAACATTATATAATATTTAAGACTGCAACATACAAAAAACAATATTAAAAAAAATCATAATAGGAACAATTTAATATTTCAATAATTTTAAAGTGTAAGGCACAAAGATAAAATAAATATTTATGAATAATTAGGACTATACAGAGTAAGTATTTAACTAGGAGCTTAGTTAAATATAAAGCAAGGGGTCTTATAAAAATTTTTTTTTCTTTTTAAATGCTAATTAAGCTAAATAAAAAATTAAATTAATGGTTTCGAATTTAATTGGTAGGTAATAAAACTAGTTTAACTACTGGCCTAACAATTACTCCCTGCTTGGTGAGCACCCTGACAACGCGTACCACACTACCACTTCCAGGTAGTGGCTCACTTATCCGACTCAATCTCCATTTTAATGGGGGCAAGCTATTATCCTTCAGTACCACCATTGCACCCAATTTAACATTTTCTTGAGCTTTTGACCAACATCCACGAGCTTGGAGTGTACTCAAATATTCAAAAGACTATCTTCACCAGAAAAATTGAAATGTTTGTGGTAAGAGCTTCCAACGGTTTCTCAGATCAACTGGACTATTCAAAACTGACTCTTCAGACACTGCTAATAATGTTTGACCAATAATAAAATGACCAGGAGTGAGGCAATCTAAGTCATTTGGATCTGAAGTCAATGGTGTGAGTGGTCTAGAGTTTAAAAGCTGTTTCTACTCGACACAGAAGAGTAAAGAATTTTTCTAAAGTCCAAATATGAGACCCCATTATTCGAACCAACAATGACTTGGTAGATTTTACAGCTGCCTCCCATAGATCACCAAAGTTTGGTGCACGGGGGGGTTCAAATGCCATATACAATGGATATTCTTTGTGATTTGATCTCTATTAGCTGGGTCATTAACAAGTTGATGAAGATGATTCGCTGCTCCAATGAAGTTCGTGTCACAGTCTGATTGGTAGAACTTTTCGAGAAACAAATCTATCCATGGCTGCTATAATTGATAATTCTATTATCGGGCTCAAACACATTATATTAAATAAAAAAACAATACAATACCCAGTCCCGGGTAGGACTCATCCGTAGACGGGGATCTCGGCCCCGGAAAATGGCCGACGCTGTGTTGAAATTTACTGCACATCAACAAAAATATCACACACGAAAAAAAAATGTTGACTGTACGCACACAGCAAAGTACGGTGTTTCAAAGGGAAGAGAAACATCAATCTTTTTACACACCGACGACGATGATCACGTTTGGGAGAGGGTATCGGCCTAACAATTTACAGAGTATAAAAAAAAAGATAAAAGTATAGAACAATATTAAATTTATACATGTATTGGCAGTGGTAGCCAGTGTATGTGTCATATAGGGAACGATAATTAAATTGATAAAGAATATTGTGTATATAGCATTCATCTTGACAGTAACAGTACAGTTTTATGATTACACGACCGGATATAACGTATGCGCGCCCATTAGCAAAGCAAAAGAGTAAATTTATCTATACCATATGAAATAACAATTTATACAGAGTGATTCATTAAGGATAAGACACTCGTTTACACAGTAACTATTGAAAATTTTTAATTTTTGATTAGGAATATATTGTTTGATTCAAAAAACACTACAGTAATATGTAGAAAAACATGATATTTATCAACCCTTCAAGGTTAAAAAACATTAACTTGTTTTTTTAAATGAGAACACATATTTTGAATTTTTAATTTAAAGTAAATGGCATTTGAATTTTTAATATAACTTTATTCGTTTATTAGATATAACCATTTAAAGTTTCAAATTTTTGAATACAGGTCGCTAATTGTTTTTTTATGACATTGCTGTCACAGTCACAGATTTTTTATTATCAATTATGACTTTCAATAGATATACTTTCTGTATTGACAGTTAGTGTATTTATTAACTCACAACAATGTGCCTTACTACCATTGATAATAATGCTGTGTACCTGCTAATATCGATGTCATATAAAACAATTAGCTACCTGTAATTGTAATCCCTTGTGTATTATACATGTATATTAACTCAAAAATTTGAAACTTTAAATGATTATATCTAATAAATGAACAAAGTTATATTATAAATTCAAATGCCATTTACTTTAAATTAAAAATTCAAAATATGTGTTCTCATTTAAAAAAACTCAAGTTAATGTATTTTAACCTTCCAGTCGTCGCGCATTTAAACAACGGGATTTGTCGCGCCAAATCTGACAGACC